TTGTAGTCACTGTTCCTCCAGCGTTCATTCCTAAACCGCCTGTTGTGCTTGTTGGGCCCGGACGAACTGAGCTATCAACTCGTCCATGCTGATGCTGTGTAAACGTCAACCCCGATCTGACCACGTTATCAAAGTGCCCGCATTCTCCACCACTTGTGGCAGATCAGGGGGTTGGGTCAAGACGTTTACACAGATCAGACACGGACAGAGTATGATTAGCTGGGTTTCAAGGGTGTTTATTAATAAAATAATCAAAAGAAAAGGTTAGGTCTCCCCCATGAGACCCTCTCCAGGATACCGTCTCCAACTACATGGAAGTGACCTTACTTCCCCCAGTCCTCTCTCATGTGCTGCCCTTCTGGATGCTTTATGGGCCTTGCACAGCTGGTGAGCAATCCGCCCTTAATTACTCACCAGCTCTCAATCAGCCCCAATTAGTCCTGTCCGGGGAGCCCGTCGAGACCTGGCACGTCCAGCAGATGGAGCCACCGCCTCGTGATGTATACTCCATCTGTTACCAGGCCTCGATGAGTCTCCCCCTGGTGGCTGACCTGCTGTACGCCACAGTATGTATGTATGGAGCATAATGTATTATGTGTGTATTCCTTTATAATCGCAGACAAACAAGGTACTAATTTCATAACCTTTATGGTGTTATACTCAATTGTGCTTATGTAGCTAGCTACATTATTCTATTAGCTTTGTAAAACAATGCTAATGGCGTCAGAGAAGTATTAGCTTGCGTTGTATATTTGAAGCTGCCCAGCCTTATCGTGACCATGACCTGTGTTTTCATTTGGCCCGTTTAGCATAGCTCTGCTCTGCCCTGCCCCCTTGTGGAGCTCTTCAGTTACTGTTCCTTACTGTTATATCATTCATAATTGTGATTTTGTCAATGCAATTTATTATTTTTATAGCAGTGTTATGTTACTTCATTGTAATATTGTTTTATTGCTATATCCTGATATTTAATTCTAATTACTAACAATTCCTCTTTATTCTGTACTTTCAGAAACCACACACACACACACACACATACACACACACAGTATTGAACATAACTTACCAACATCATAACTGGAACTGTATATCTTTCTTGCAAAAGATTGAGGACAATATACTGTTTGGAGAGGGAGTAGGGGGGATGAGTGAGTGGAGAGGATGATGAGGGAGTCGGGAGGTGGGTGAGATAATTGTATAATGGAACTGTATTTGATTTGTATGTGAACTGTATGTCCAATTACAATAAACCTTGTTCAGTAATAATCTCACTTGTTAGCTGGCGGTGAACTATGTGGCCATTGAGGATAGCAGTGTCGATCAGATGGAAAAAACATATTCTTATACCACTTAGTGGATTTTCCGAAGGCATGCCCCAAAGCTGTTTATCATGTCCGCCTTATCCACTGCCTCCATTTTGAGGTTATAGTCAAGCACACAGTCTGGTTTGATCTTTCCCTCTCCCATCAGGTGGTCCACCTTCACTGTGGCTCTCTCTTCTCCTGTAGCTCCAAGGCATAGCGATTGGTCTCCTCCACTATGTCTCTGTCAGAAACAGCTTGAAGCACTCTGCCTCAGAGGGAGATGGCAAGGGGCTTTGAACTCCAGACTGGGACTCATCAAAGCCAACAGAAGGGCCAGGAGGGGTGAAATGGCTGGAGGCCTTCCAGCTACCGCAGACCTCCTGTATTTCACCCACTGTTGGTCTACCTCCATCACCACCAGCATCTTCAGAGGGACCTGGGACTCGGTGGGCAAGGGGTCCTCAGATTCATGGTTCTCAATGGCAACAAGGTTGGGGGGCAGCTCCTCACTGTCACTCTCACTGTCAGAATCTGATTCCTCACAGTCTCAGAATCATTGTCAGAATTTACAAAAATCTCCAGGATTTCTGCATTTGTGAGTTTTGAAAGACATCTCTAATGCTACAGCTTAGCCCACTAGATACATACATAAACACCAACACTGAATGGCTCCAAGTGAGTGGCAGTGGTGATGTGATTGGCTGCCGGTGTGGTGATACTGATAATTTGTCTCCACAGATGGTTTGTTTACATAGCAGGTTGGGATAATTAACATGGCAGGTTAGGAGAATGAATGCAGCAGGTTAGGTGAATTAACGTAATTAAGAGAATGAGGTTAAGGTTAGGAAAATGCTACAGTTTTCAATAACAGTTGCCCCTGTCGTGACTACTAGATAGAGCTGTTGTAGGCCTAGCTATTCCATCTAGCCACAACAGTAGAAACTTAAACCATCTGTGGCGACAAAACGTAAACGTCTGTCAGACCAAAGATGTTATAGCAAAACGAGATGAAGGGATGGTTCACTCGTCTTTCAAGTAAACCTCTGGAAGAGAATGGTGGGAAATGAATGATTGTAGACAACATATCCCCTTTGCCTTCAACATGCATACTGCAAACAGACCCAACTCATCTTGTCACCTCTCCTTATCTTTGGTTGACGCAGAAAAACAAACCTGGCGGCGAGCACAAACTACCCATTGGATTACTTTTGACTTTTAGAAAGTGTTTTACTCAATTATTTATATCACTGGTGAGCGCACCCGTGATGTGATATGATAAATTGTAAATAGTCTTTGCTATTAGCTAATTCATATTATGGTTTCTATCACTTGAGAGTTAGCTAAATATGACCGCTTGTGTTAGCTCAGTCTTTACTCAGTTAGCGCTAGGATTTTCCGATTTGGATGAGAATAGCGTTATGCTGTTGCTACTTCTGTGAATGTCTGAACATTGCATCCAAACTACTCACATTGAGGGCATAACATTGTAAAAGCTGTTTGTGCAAAACGTTTCTGTGAAAAAAACGGTGTGGCCAGCTCAAACGCTGACTGTTGCGTCAATCGTAACTAGATGTTCTAATGAAGTGTTCTAATCACACCGGTTTGAGTGTATGCTGCAGGGACCATTGTGGAATGAGCACACCTGTGTGTTTGTACGTGTCAAAAGGTTCAGCATTGTTGTGGACTTAGATAAACAACTCAATTGGATGTTCTATGAAAAAAGTTAGATTTTGAGAGCGAAAACCTGAAAGAACTGGGGAAAACGGAAACCTGGGAAAACTAAATGGAGAAAAAAGGAATTTGAGAAAAAAAACAGAATCAGGCAAAAAATAACAGATTTTATATGGCCCTTCTCTACCCTCCCCTATTCCCCATATCCTTCTACCCTCCCCTTTCCCCCTCTCCCTCCCGCCTCCCGTCGTAGTCCAGACAGACAGGGACCTGTCTGTCACATATCAGGCCGGTGACAGATGACCTTTGGCGTGGCACATTTGATAAAGTTCCTCTCCTTCCCACTGTGACAGGGCGCTGTGTTATTCCGTAGTGACAGCACGCATTAGCAGTAATTTATGGCACTCCGCTGCTCGCTAAAGGAGCACTCAATAATCCATCCTGCCTATCCATTTAGTGACAGGCGGCCAAGTGGAGGAGCGGTGCAGCCAGTGACGTGCCATGTCTGATGTGTGTCACTGTGACCTACTTATTGTCCCCTTGACTGGGATGTCAAACACGTCACTGTATCAGCGCATCTGGGGATGGACGGTGCTTGTTCATCGTTATCTGTACACGCTTATTTAAAGGGGAACCGCATGCGCTGATTTGGCCTAATTTTTTGCTTTGTTGCTCAAGAAATGTTGGCGGCCATAACAGACGCCAACTGTGAGTTGGCTTGGGGGTGTGGTTTGATGTGGGTGTATCTTGGGTGTGACCTTGACAACACCAAGACACACCCATCTGTCAGAACCTTGCACGCAGCCGTTTCCCCTGACTCAATCACAACAAACAAACCTCCTGCAGGTTGACTTCAATAACTACAGGCAGATGTATGGTGAGATGTCGGAGGAAGCTGTAGGTCAGTAGCCTACAGAGTAATATGAGAAGAATGTAATTGCTGAATTTATGTAGATATTCCAAACAGTATTTTGATAACTTTCAAATGTAGTAACAGGTCCATGTAGAATAAACAACCATTTATATAATACCATAGAAGCAGTGTTCTGGTAATATAGCAATGTTCACCTTTCACCTTTCATTGTCATTCCCAGCCAAAATAGATACTTTGCCTATCTACATTTTGTCTGGTGGTAAAGGGGCTACCTTGGCAAACATGTCAGACTGGTCATAACTTCCTGTGTGGTATTTGGTACAGTGAGGGGAAAAAGTATTTGATCCCCTGCTGATTTTGTACGTTTGCCCACTGACAAAGAAATGATCAGTCTATAATTTTAATGGTAGGTTTATTTGAACAGTGAGAGACAGAATAACAACAACAAAATCCAGAAAAACACATGTCAAAAATGTTATAAATTGATTTGCATTTTAATGTGGGAAATAAGTATTTGACCCCCTCTCAAGATGTCTGGCTCCCAGGTGTCTTTTATACAGGTAACGAGCTGAGATTAGGAGCACACTCTTAAAGGGAGTGCTCCTAATCTCAGTTTGTTACCTGTATAAAAGACACCTGTCCACAGAAGCAATCAATCAATCAGATTCCATACTCTCCACCATGGCCAAGACCAAAGAGCTCTCCAAGGATGTCAGGGACAAGATTGTAGACCTACACAAGGCTGGAATGGGCTACAAGACCATCGCCAAGCAGCTTGGTGAGAAGGTGACTATGGAGGACTAAAAGTGCCACAATTAAATAAATAAATACACCATTAAATAATTACTTAAATGTGTCATTAATTAATTCAAATTAGAATTAAATACATAAATGTGTTATTAAATGTGTCATTAATTAATTCAAATACCGATTCATTTTATGTAAAATACATATATAATTATTTCACTATTTACATTTACATTTCATGATCCTGCGTTGCAGTGATTCATGAATTACTTAAAACTGTCAAACTGACCCATCAAAGTCAGTGGGCGGGGCTAACGCGAATCTAGTCTGATCCATTGCTTTGGTCTGAAGTAGAGTAGGCCAACCTGGATAGAGACAATGGAGGATCTCCGTGAACTTTCCAGGGAGTTGGTTAGATACATTTTAAACTTAGCAGAGGATGTAGAAGCAGGACCTGCTGACCCAGAGCATGTAGCTAGTAAAGCAGAGGAACTTATTGAAGTTGTTGGAGTCATTTCCGCACTTTCCGACGAAGATATCGACCACAGAGTGATTGCAAATCTAGAAGAAGTTGTCCACCGCTTCTCTGGTACCAGGGCACTTCAGGCCCAACACACACAGGGACCGGGGCGTTTGGCGTTTGACATACCGAGTGCAGTTCTGGAGCATCAACTTCTTTGTGGAGTTCCCGCAGTTCAAATTGCAGCGATGTTCGGTGTGTCAAAGAGGACCATCAGGAGGCGCATGCAACAATACAGTTTAAGGTATTTACACTAAATTCATGAGTTTTCTGTTTATGAATTGCTGCTCTCATACACTCGGAAAGAATATGACGTTTAAGGTAACATTACTTGATGTTGTGTTTTTCTTGTTTGTACAGAAAGACAGATCTCTATTCAGCTGTGAATGATGAGGAGTTAGACCGTATTGTAAGTGAAATTCACAGAAGTCATCCAAACACCGGCTACAAGCTAATGCGTGGTCACCTGAATGCAAGAGGTGTGCATGTTCCAAGTGAGTAGATAATAATATGGGCATTATTTAAATGTATTTTTAATTTGGAGCTCTGCCCCTTTGAAAGGTGAAGGAAGCCCGCTTATGGAAAGACATCGCCTCTGAGATGTAGAATGTGTAGAAGAAATGTGAAGAGAAACACACATTTCAGGACGGCTGACTTGTATCATCAGGATAGACATGTCCTGTGATTTTTAGCCTCCTGTTTAATAGAGGTGGAACAATATCTGACAGTAATATTCTCAGCTGTCCGGATGTGCCCCTGCTGTAAAGGGTATAATATAATCATAGAAAAGCAAAATATCATAGGAGGCAAAAAATCTCAGGTCATCTCTGTTCGAGCATGTGGTATCTATCTATCTATCTATCTATCTATCTATCTATCTATCTATCTATCTATCTATCTATCTATCTATCTATCTATCTATCTATCTATCTATCTATCTATATATGTGTGTATATATATGTATATGTGTATATATATGTATATGTGTATATATATGTATATATATGTGTGTATGTATATATATATATATATAAATATATATATATATATATAAATATATGTATGTATGTATATATATGTATGTATATGTATGTATATATATAAATATATATATGTATGTATGTATATATGTATGTATATGTATGTATGTATGTGTATATATATATATATGTATATGTATATATAATTTTTATATATGTGTATGTATACATATATATATATATATACATACACATATATATATATATATATATATATATATATATATATATATATATATATATATATATATATATATATATATATGTGTATGTATATGTACAATATCTGACAGTAAAGTACATTTTTGAAGCTGTGGTGGTTCTGTAATAGTTGACTGTTTTACACACATTATTTATTTTATTATGACACCACTATATCCTCAAAATAAGTAGCCAGTGAGTGTGTGGTTATTCATTTTAAATTCCTCCCCTCAGTCTCAAGACTGCAAGAGTCTTTACGCAGAGTCAATGCAGAGGGAGTCTACATGAGACGTCTGAGGCTGCGTGTATTAAGGCGACGGCAGTATTTTGTTCCTGGCCCAAACTCTTTGTGGCATATAGATGGCCACCATAAGCTTATCACGTCAGTGATATTAGCAGATAAACAATGCATCTTTCTATATGTTTCATTACAATTGTTATACAATAAAGTTATATTTTTCATGTGTTTGCAACAGGTGGAGATTTGTTGTCCACGGTGGGGTGGATGGATTCAGTCGTTTAGTGGTCTACCTGACTGTGGCCGGCAATAATAGAGCTCATACGGTCTTACAGAGCTTTATCGCCGCTGTTGAGCAGTATGGGCTGCCATCAAGGGTACGGTCTGACAAAGGGGGGGAGAATGCAGATGTAGCAGAATTCATGATCAGAAGCAGAGGTACCGACAGGAATTCACACATCACAGGCAGAAGTGTCCACAATCAGCGGTAAAGAAATATGTTTGGCAACTAGGGTCACACAACTAACATACTAGTTGAATGTACTTTAGCATATGTCATAAATTAACAATTTCTCAATTTTATCCTAAACACAGAATAGAGAGGATGTGGAGAGATGTTTATGAACATGCCCTGGACCTCTTCTATCAGATCTTTACTTCATTGGAAGATCAGGAGACACTGAATCCAGACAATGAAGTCCATCTTTTCGCTCTGCACCGGATTTTCCTTCCACTGGTTCAGCAAAGCCTCGACTCTTTTCGAGATGCTTGGAACTTCCACGGTCTTAGAACTGAAAGGAATCAGTCACCACAGCAACTCTGGAGAAGTTACAGAGAGCAAGGCCCTGAGGAGGATCCTACTGAGGTTAACAATGAACTTTAAACACTTTCTTAAAATTGTTTCCCCAAAGGAATTATGGGAGAAAAAAATGGTGCTAAATGTGATACTTTAAATGAAACATTTACTATAGATTATTGTCTCTTTAAAATCTCCCGAGCTTTTAAAGATCAACCTGTGAGCTGTAGTTTCTACAGTGCATACTATGCAAAGCTGTATTATTTTAAAAAACTGAATAAGTAACATTTCATTTCTCACTGCCTTGGTGACCAAAAATAACAATCTTGTGTAAGGACATGTCAAACTAGTTTTAAGTACAAGACTGATTATGCTTGTCATCCATTCAGGTTCCTGAAGAATATGGGATCGATTGGAACGGACCTCACTGCCTTCATCGAGGCACTGTGTCAGTCCCCGAGGTTCAGCTGGCCCGTGAGCTCTCAGATGAAGAGGTTGCAATTTTGCCAGCTCCAGGAGTTTCTGTTACTGATGCACTTAGACTATATGTAGAGACTGTGGAAGTGTTATCAAGAATCTTAGACTGATGTCCAACCCATGTTTTTATTTGTTGTGTTAGAACAAGCAAGGAAAAACTGAAAGTTTACTTTCCTTTTAAAAGAAAGGAAAAAAAGCTGTTTCTTTGAAGCTTCCTGTCTCATTATGGTCCACAGAATGACTAACATGAATGCTGTACTGTTAGCACTGAAGGTGCAGAACAGTTTGATTTTAGTAAATGGAAGAAAAAAAAGTCAACTACTGCACAGTGTGTTAATGTTTTCAAAGACACTGAACTTGTGTCAATTCATCTGAACTGTGTATGCATTGACATTAGGGCTGGGCAATATGGAGAAAATCAAATATCACATTTTTGACCTAACACCTTGATGTCGATATTGCAACGATATTGTAAGGTTGACAATTGGTGCATTCACAAAATATCTTCCACATTTAGATTTCGGATAAATAACTATCATATTGTGGATATAATGACTAAGTGGTAAAAGGCAAATAATAGAACAGCTAGAACAGTCTGGTAAGTTCAGAAAATGACATCACTTTACTGTAATGCAGCCTTTGAAACCAGGAAAAGACTAAACTTACCATGTAACGATATTACACTTCTTCAAAATCTAATGGTGCTTTTCCATTACATGGTACCTACTCGCCTCGCCTCGCCTTTTTTGGTTTTCCATTACGAAAAAAAGTACCTGGTACCTGCTAACATATACTTTTTTTAGCACCTGCTCAGTCGAGGTTCCAAGCGAGCTGAGGCGAGCCGAGAAGGTGACGTGAAACCCTGCAGGCTGCTGATTGGTCGGAAAGAATCGTCACTGATCACTGCATTGCCAGCGACAGACAGCATTTTAAAATAGTTTAGCCAGCGGTGGTTTTTACTGCCGGAGGCTCCACGCAGAGCTTTCTCCGTAGCATACAAGTGGCCTGATGGTTATACTGGTGCGCTGGTGTGTGTAATGTGTGATGTGTGTGTGTCGAGTCGCCATATGTGTGTGTGTGTGTGTGTGTGTAGCTAGTGAGCGAGGGAGAAGTGAGAGAGTGACGGCGATTATCTCCGCAGCGAGTAGCGACTCTAGTCATATATATGTGAGAGAAACAAAGCGAGTAGCGACTCTAGAGTCATATATATGTGATCACGGTGGGAAATCTGGAGCAGTTAACGTTAACTATCTCTTTGATATCATGTTGTTCACGGAGACTGAGAACCAGGAAATGCGGCGGGGATTTGTCAATGGGAAAGCAAGCTACTAAGCCACGCCCACGGCAGTCGCTATGACGACCAGCCACGCTGAGGCAATCCTAAAATCTGCAATGGGAAACGGACGCACAGCGAGTCGAGGCGAGGCGAGTCAAGTAGGTACTGGTAATGGAAAAGCACCTTAAGACGATATCTAGTCTTATATCACGATAGATATAATATTAAAATATTGTCCAGCCCTAATTGACGTCTGAAAAAACTTAAACAAGCCCAAATCCAGTACTTTTTATGGCAGCGACAAGTGCTTTCTCAAAGTCCATGTAGAGTTTGAAATGAGCTGGCAGCTTTAGGGTTTCAAAGCATGTGGAGGACGTAGGAAGGGTTCCCCCAGAAATCTCCACTCTCAGTTCAGGAGGAAGCATCTCCCAGCCAACCCAGAATGTCAGCAGCTGGGCCAGGGTACCTGATGAAGCTAAAAGTCATAAAATGGATTAAAGACATTTAGTTCAACTGTAATTGATCATATCTATCCATGAGACATAGAAGCATTTGTAAAGAGAGAAAATAAGGTTTATACCTGTTTCAATGAACATCCTTAGAAAGCCAGTGATGCGGCAGGTGGTGTCTAAGTCAAAGTCTTCATCATCACTGTCCTCAACTGGCCATGTGATTTTTTCTAGGAGCATCTTAAAGAAAACAAAAATTGTAATTTAAAAAAAGGGAGAACTTATTTTGGTGAAGGACTATGCAGATCAAATTCTTAGAAAATGGAAAAATATCCATCTCAGTCATTGAAAATACACGTAAATTCATCAAGTTAAGTCACAAATATAACTAAATTACTGACTTACCTGGGGTGTGAACTGCATTTCAGCCATTTTGGGGAAAAGAAGTGGTACAACATCCGGCCTAGATGTCAGCAGGGGCCATACCATCACATCTTTCAGTCCCTTTCTCAACTGTTTAATTTGGCGCATGGTCCTCCCAACGACCTAAGAGACAGACCGACCCATATTACAGCCCAAATCCTTAACCCAAATTTGACAAAAGTTGGCACAGTAGGAAAAATGTTAATAAACACAATAAAGTGCTTTATAAAAATCCATTAAAACTCTAGTACTTAAACTCTCGTGTTAACATAACAAGCCAGGGTTCACAACACATTCTATAATTTCAACAAGTACAGCGATGAATTCTGTCACTTAACCAGCAGGAACTCACTGCATGGAGTAGAAGTTTGTTATGTAGCCATCTCCGATTTGTTTTGGTGACTGCCGGAAGATCCCAAGACATGGAAAGATCTGAAACTGTGTCCTTCTGTTCCGGTGTAAGATCTTCATGTTCAAGCTAGAATTAAGACCATACAAGTTATTATATCTGCCCAAGCAATATTTTTTACATGGCAAAGTTTCTTTTAGGTTACATACCAGTTCTATGATGCTCCTGATGTGCAGATCAGGACAGTCTTCTGTAACAACAGTAGCCATTTCAGGGTCCCCATTGAACAGTACATGAATTACAGCAGGACTTAGTCCTGTGACATGGGGACCATCATGCAGAAAGGTGTGGCCCAACATCCTTCCTGCAACCCGGAAGAGGTTGCTTTCAATAAGTGCCTCTGATGCTGCTGGAACAAGATGGTCAGGTTCACCCTCAAATAGCAGTGTTCGGCCCATTCCTCCTGTAAAGTACCAAGAGAGCAGGGAATAAAGTCACAACAATTAACCTCTTAAATACATTAAATAAAAATGTATGATAGATAGATAGATAGATAGATAGATAGATATATTACATCATACTAGTGGCGATTACTTGGCCTGTGGTATTGCTGCTTGTAGAATTCACTTAAACCAAATTGTAGCCTACTCCAAAATGACTTACAGAAGGACCCCAAACCACTTCAAATTCAATTCCCCTGTATACCCTACTACAGACTTACCTGACACAAAACATTGCCCACCGGCCCTCCGCTAAACAGCACATATCCGCGTTCATCAACCACCAGAACGTACGTGTACGCGTGTGTGTGTGTGCGCGCGCATAGAGAGAGGCGGTGTAGAGTGAGTCACGACACAAACAGGTGCTCAGTCAGCGTTGCATGCAGTGTGAGAATGGCAAGCAGCAAGAGCGGCAAAAGCCAATGTGTGCTTCTTTTACCTATATATGTAACGCTATCTTTTGCGTTTATCCAAACGTCGTCAAACTTGGCACTGCACTTACTCGTGACCAGAGCAAGACACCTGTCAAGTTTGAAATCCATCGGACTAACTGAGAGACATGCGCTACAGACAGACATTTCTGCAATTTATAGATGGATTAACCTTCAAAAAATTAGTAAGATACTTACCAAGATCTAGACTGAATCCAAACTGGAGTTTGGATATGATTGTTGTCATAAAGTACCGCATCACTCCCTCTCTGATAGCAACATCACCTGAAATAAAATACTGATAATAACACTGGAAAAAAAGTGGCGGCCTAATACAGGTAACTGGATTTGGTAACATTTAACAAGAAAGGGAGAAAAACTTCTATTGGCTGTAATTCTAGAATAGCATCCTTAATATTGATTATTCCAGATAACAAGAGTATATTGTGCACAATATTCACATACATACATATAACATTTTTATCAATTATATAATTTTGTGCATTCCATTCTCCCATTTAACAATTCCATATAAGCTACTTGAGTGGTATAAACTGTACTGATGTATTTATATTATAAATGTTATATTACTTACCAACCAGAGTACAATGAAGTGGACATGCCCATTCTTGCTGCTGTTTATATAATAAGAGAAGCTCCCGTTCCCTGTCCTCTTCAGAGTCCCTTACATCCATCTTCATTCTAAGTGGTTTCCCAGTTGCATGTTCCCTTAGCAGATTCTCTTTGAAAACTTTGGCAGCTTGAGTGGGTTCTTTAATAAGCTTCCATTCTAAACAAACAACAACAATAAAGTTATCTATTACAGAGAGACATATTGTGAGTTGGCATGTTACCTGCATATACAGATATCCTCTCACTCTACAGAACAGGAGGAAAATTCTGTTCATTTCACTGACAAAACGTGAGACCCAACATCTTCAGAACCTGTCACAACGCTGAGTTGACATAAAAACAGCACTACTAAACAACTACAACTAAATATTAGAAAAATAGAAAAACCCAGTTGCATGTTATTAATTGTCTGTAACTGTATTATCTTATCTAATTATATCCTACAGGTGTTATCTTTCTATTAACTTTTCAGTTACACACAATCTTATAGCAACACTATTGTGATGACACAAACCACTGTCTTTTTCTTTGCGATCCAACTCCTCGTTGACAATCACTGCCGGTACTACTGCACTCTCAGCTGATGTTTCAGGCCTCACTGGAACACTGTCACTGACTAGGGCTGTCTCACTATCATTTTCTTCACTTTGGCCTCCCTCTTGTTCTCTTTCTGATTCCTGCATGGGTGTCCTTGAAGTTAACACAATTGAAATGATGGTCATACTCGCTTATTTGTGTGCACAACAATAAGAGAGACATATTCCCAAAGAAAATAAATTATGCTACCCTTGCATTGCTTTAAGAAGTACATACCCATTGCAGCTCAATCTGTGCAGCTTCATCTCTGAAAAGGGAACTTCCTTCTGACAAGTGATGCAGGGGATGACTGGACCAGAGGCAGGACGTGAGCTCTCCTAACAACAACAACAAATGGCTTTTAATTAATGATTAAAAGTCACCAGTAATCTTTGTTTTGATTATGTATTAAACTAAGTCTCTGTAAATGTATGTACACAATCTAAGGGTAGATCCTGTTGAAGTGGACGTATGTAGATTGTAGCCTGTCCAATCATCGTCGATGGATCTTTCAGATAGGCAAGGGTGTATCCAGTGCTGGGACACTGAAGCAACGCAAGATTT